TCAAACCTGCAGCCAGAGCAGTAACTTCAGCTGCGTGTTACCCAGAGCCAAACCCAGTAAATCTCCAGCCGTGCTGTCGGATGAGTCCTTTCCCCACCCAGAGCAGGAAGGAGCCATAACCGCTGGAGCTGTTAGCCGTGGGTTTCTGTGCTTTCAGACAACCTAACTTCAGTTTACTTCTTGTCTCTCGTGACACAAATCCCAGAACACACACTAATAACCGTGATTTACGGCTGGAGCCGCTTCGTTTTACTGTGCTGTGTAATTGCTATCCTGTTGAAGAGCCAGGCTTTCTGAAGAATATTCATGGACTGTAGTTCCTTGGCTGTCTGTAGAGCATGTGTCCTGCCTGCTCCACGGTCCAGGCAACAGCATCTGCTAAAAACAGGTTTATTTTAAAATCTCAGGGATAGAGGTTGGTTGCCTGATTGCTGCTCCTAAGCTGTTTGTGTCTACGTTTTAGAAAAGCAAATGGAGAAAAGTTACTTTTCTGATTTACCAGAATAAATGGTTTTAACTCTTAATTTGTGGGTGTTAGTGGCTACAAGCAGAGGCAGCTGATTCTCATCCGTGCACCTACAGAAATAACACTGTCTTTTTAACCTTGAGTCTGAGTGAATTCACCAGGGTCTGGATCACTGCATATTTTTCCTATCCTTTTATTTTTCCTGTAAGCCTGTGAATGGCCACTGCAGGTTACAGAGAGGTAGGCAGCCCCTCGGCTGGATCCGATGTCACCGCTACGGTGAGATCCAGGCTTTTGGATGCAGCTCTTCAAGCTGAAACGCACTGCTGAGACGAGTATTACTGGCTCTGCTGGCACTTACGGGACTGGCAGGATGTAATAGGCATGAGGGCTGCACAACAGGAGACCACTCAAGAGTCTTCTGTGTGATTTACGGTGACCAATTGCTATCCAAATGTCTTTGAAAGTGCAAAGTGCAGAAATGGAGTTATTTAGGAGATATTGTTTTCTCTACAAGAGCAGTGGTTGCAACTTGGAATTTGGAGATCTGTTCTGGACACAGCTGCAATGGCAGAAATAGAGGAAACATCCTGTTTGCTTTTAATAGGCTTATTCTGCAATTAAAGCCTATAAATGCTTTTTTACATACATGTGTGTATAAATATAAAATATATGTTATATGTATACACACATATATAAAAGATATTAGGAAAATAGTCAACTGCTCTCCTTGAATCTGTAAATAGAGATATACATACATATGTATATGCATATATACACACATATAGCTGCTGCTTTAGCATTTAAGGAAGTGTGGACTCCCACCAGCCCAATCACCCTTGGTGGGTGGTATTTAGTTGTAGCTGTGAGCATCACAGCACCCATGATGCCAGCAAAATGGGGTGACCGCAATGATGTGAGGGCTTCACTGGGAGCCTCAGTCCCTCCTGGGCTGGAGATCTGAAAGCTCCTGAGAAATGATATTGCATTATATAGTCCTGCTGCAAAGTCACATCTAAACAAAGCAGAGGCACCGCCAGATGCCTTTCGTTGCAGAGGACTACAAAGCAGAAGATTATAAATCCTGTAGGATCAAGCAGGCATTGCTTGGAGGGAAAGATTCCCTCCACAAGCACAAATATCTTGAAGATAGCAAAGGAAAGCAGAGGCTGACTAAACTCATATTTACATAGTATTCTCCCCAGGCCCACTGCAGAGTGGAAATTCCCCTGCGATGTCTGTGTATGAAAGTCTCTCTAGCTATGTGTGCATAGCATTCCTCCACCTTTTGGGATACGTGCAGGGAGCTTACGACTGGAATTAAGTTGACATTTTGTGGTACGGTGCAGAGTTTAATCCTCAATTGATGGCATTGCACTCTCTGCCTTCTGCCTCTGCCTGGGGAGTTACAGCCCTGCAAATAATACCATTTCCCCTGGAACAATCCCATGAGGAAGACATCACCTCTGACTGTGTGCTGGGGATGCTGGGTGCCACCAGCCACTCTCAGCAGAAGACATCCTTTCCAGGCCATCCTTGCACCACCCAATAGAGGAACCCCAGCACAAGGACCATGGTCATAGAAATGGTGAATTCAGCTTGATTTTTAATGGGAGGTGATGAGAGAGCTCAGACTAAGGAAAGCAAGGTTTTGATGGTGAAGCAGGCGGCTGGGATGGGAATGCCCATGCGGGGTTGGGCACCTGGTTTGCCAGCCCCAACGAGCTCAGAGCAGTGCCCCAGGATGGGGATGGCAGGAGGTCCTGCCATGACCTCCTATGACCACGACCAGCCTGGCTGTGTCTGAGAGCGGGGGAGTGAGGGGCTGTGAGATGGGCCATGACAACAAGAGCTAAAGAAATAGAGGGGTAACAGCGCCAGGGAGGCAATTCCACTGTTATTAGCACAAACACAGTCATCGCTCTGCCTTTGTCTCCCGATGAATCAGAGGAAATTGCCTCCCTAGCCCTTCGCCTTCCAGCTACTTCAGCTGTGTTTTGTTTCCCTAAGATTCAAATATTCTGACTAGATTTCAGCATATTATTATGAGAACAGAAGAGCTATAGAGAAATTGAAGCTTCACAGAGGAAATAGCCAATAAATGTTGCTTTGAATTCACTTGCTTTTTATGGCGAGCTCTGATGTCAGGGACAGATATGGCTTTGGAGAAGATGCATCCCTGTGCTGCAGATGTGTTTGTGAATACTTAGTGGACAATCTCCTGTGACATTGTAATGGGCAGCTTACCATTATCTATTAGATTTTTAAGCCTGTCATTTTGATATGACTGATTTTTCTATTTAATACCGGTCCCTGTGAACTATGAGCTTACAAAAGCAAGAGCACTCTTCTTTGTGTGGCGATCCTATCTGGCCAGATTAGCAATATGTTTATTTGCATTTTACCAAAAAAGATTGGGCTTTGTAACGAAAATATGTATCAGGTCAAGTGAAAAATGTGATGGCTTGATATCAAAATCCCAGAATGGCTCGTGATGGAGGGGGGAAGGCAAACTTCCAAAGGAGAAATCTTTAATTTTGGCACTTACAAAATGTGGCATTTCATCCCTCTAATTTGCCATGGGCTTTTTGTTTCAAACATTTCTTTTGATGAAAGCAAGCATGCAAACAGAAAAAAACCAACCCTATTTAGAATTCAATAAAATGCTTCATTTGATCCTCTTCAGTTTCCTGGAAAAGTTCAACATGAACATTCAAGTACCACTGCATTTCTTCAAATCGTGGAGAAACTGCTGATCCGTTAGCTGTGCAGCTTTGATCTGCCAAGTGCCAAGAGAGGGTCCTCTAAAAGTTGCCGTAATTCATATTACTCAGTAGGACCATCCCGATGAGCATGAAAGCTCAGCCTGGCAGGCATGATATGAGCACAGAGCCAGAGGCTGCCTGTCCTGAAGGCTTTGCCCTTCTGATGTACAATTCCCATAGGGTCAGCTATATGATTTTGTGTGGAGTGGCACACGGAGAATGGGAAAGTCCATTTGAAATGACTTTCCACTGCTGGAGGGGAAGTTCTCCACACTTGCTGTCTCTGTCAGAGACTTGTATTAAGAAACTAAACTAGGTCAGCCTTGTGGATTAAAATGCACTAACCACCGTGTCTCAGATCTATGGTCTTCTTACACAAGAAGTCGTAACAGGTGACCATTGCCAGAGTACCACAGGAACAGTGTTGTCCGAGACCTCACCTGGTCAGCATCTTCACCATGGATGGTACTGTGCCGTTCCTGCTTGGCATTTGCCTACTCTGTTCTCAGAAATTTCCCGACCAGGGAAGCCCAGAGGAAGAAGGGGTGAGGACCACGTCCCACTGAGCCCTCCCCTGCACATCCTCAGTGCCCATGTGTGTCCGTGGGGTCCCCCAGCTTGGGCAGACACCCCTCTGCCCATGTGGACAGAGAGGGCTGTGTAGTCCAGAGGTGATCCACGGATGCCCCAAAGCTGGCACCGAGGTCATTGGAAGGTTTTTGGGCCCCCTATGTCAGTAAAACACCTGGAAACAGCTGACAGCCAGTCAGAACAGAGGGTCATCATGCCCAATGGGAATTGGTAGGGAGGGGCTGGCAGGGGAAGAGGAGGTTGCAAAGCACTAGTTCTGCCAAACTAACCTTATTATTTTTCCCTCCATTCTCTTTTGACATTAAACAGGCTGAGTGGATGAAAGGAAGATGCAGACACAATTAACCAGATACTGCAAACAGGAGGGCGAGTTGCTTTTTATGGCTAGTTTATGTTTCAGGCACACGACTATACAGAATAATGCAATAACAAAAATCATGCGGTATTTACCCTGGGTTTATTCACTGCAAGTCCTCTGAGAGCTGCTTTTGTTTGTCTTTATTTAATTGGCATGGTCGGATGGCCACCAGCAGGTCCAATTAAACAGATTCAATAGATTCCACTGTACATTTTTATTTTTTTTCTTCATCAGCGTGTAGCATAAAATGTCCAAAATAATTTGTCTGAGTACTAGTAATGAATATAAAGTGCACTCTGTTCCAGCCTGCATACTGTAAATTTCAGCTGTACCGCGTTTTACGGCCAAAGCAAACTGGGTTAATAATAAAATCACTGATGCAATCTTTAGTACAGCCTTAGTGGGGACAAGGGTACCATTGCATGTTATGATGCGAGGTATTTGGTTGCTCAACTTTGGGCCCATCTGAAGACAGATAGGCATTAAGCCGTCTTTTTTAGCTGTCTTAAGCTTCAGCATTTAAGTGTTAGGTAGAACCTTTTTAAGCAAATCCCGCCGATGGGACTTGGGCATGCCCTTAATATCAGGTATTTGTTTAAGTGCTTTGTTGAATTGGAGCCTAGTAGATCCTCTTGAAAAGAAAGTGATTTTCAATCTAATAAGGTTATCTTAGTGTGAACATTTTAACTACATCAATCAATATGCCCGTCAGGAGTAAATGACTAATGGGATTTCTCTTTTCTTTCTTTCTTTGTTACCAGAATGATGAATTGACTTTGCCTGTTGCTGAAGATTCTCATCTCCTTAATGCATTGCAGATATGTCTAATGGACAGAAGCTGTCAGGGTCTGGCAGTAACCAGTCCCAACCCAAAATATTTCCCCCTGAGACTGGGTCATCAGATTCCAGCTCTGCTCTCACAGTGGAAAATGTGAAAAGGCTGGAAAATGAATACACGACTTCTAAAGAAGCCTTCACTAAACAGAGAATACAAGATTATATTAAGCAGACTAACCTTGCTTGCTTCAACAAAGAGACAACCAGGGAAGCCAGCACAGAGCCTGTCCAGGATGCAGAGCCTGGACCCTCCTCGTCCTTCCCTGTAAAGCAGAGCAAAAATAGCAAAGAAGTTTGTTGGAAGACCTCTGAAGAAATATCAAGGAAAGATAAGATGTTAACAGGTATTTTTCAGCAATCTGTTAGAGGGAAGGAGAGAGAATAAGACAGCTGTCCTCAATCTTTTCTACATTTCTGTTTGCATATGGTAAATATAAGTGCGATATTTGGGCACCTAAAATGGTGATGGATTTTGAGGTGCAATATCTGCTTCCTTCCCTGCCTGCCAGTGAGGGATGCAGTTGTGTGGACTGCTGGGTTGGTTTGTACCATGTTTTAGGCAAAAGTATTAAGCTGTGAGAGCATGGTAAGGAGCACCAGCACGTAGACCTGAATCCCAACCATGGAGTTTGTCAGAGAGCTCATCACAAATGCAAGGTGTTAGACGAAGTACCCCAGCAGGAAAAAAAAAAACCAACGGGATTTTACCAGCAATTTAAACAGAAGCAGAATGAACCCAGGATAGAATGTAAACAGGAAACCCACCCACCTGTTTTAGGCAGTACTTCTGACTTTCCAAGGTGTTCAGAGTCCAAACACGGTGATTTATTTTTGTCTGGAGCAGAATTGCTCTGTTGCAGGGCACCTAAATGCCAGCAAATTAATATTAGACAATTACCTCTTATTAGATGTCACAAGCTATATTTACCTTTTTTATATATATGTACGCTGCTTTTAATAATATTTTACAGCACATTAAGTAACATAGCCAATGTTTGGAGACAGATAGTAGGGACAAAAGCGTAGTTAATCCATGGAAAGGAAACCCCTCTAAATTACAGGGGGAAAAAAACTTGTCCCATTCTGGCTCTAGCTGCCTGTGGTGACACAGCCCATCTCCTCTGCTTGCAAGCCAGTATGTGGCTTGTGGCTGTATAGAGGACAGGGTCATATCTGTCCCCTGCGAGTGGCTGAAGAAGGGACAAGTGGTCCCATCAAAAGCCACTGGAGAGGGACCACACAGCTGCCACGGGGAAGGGCAACTCATTCTCTACATAGAGAGACTCTGACTTTCTACAACAGAGACTGGATACCAAACCGGGATCCGAGTGGGACAATTTGGCCTTATTCTAAGTATAAATCAGGTTTTTAGAGGAAAGATTGGACTTTTCCCATATTTATTCTTTGAATACATCATAAGCACACATTCCACCTGCTCCAGGAGAGCCCCTAGCACAGCCTGCCTTGGCACAGCCAGAAATGCACAGCCGGTAGGAAAAAGCCAGGCTAATCCGTGAAGTAAAGGGTTACCAATTTCCTAGGGAATCCATGCATTGGTCCTCCTTGGGGCTGGGCCAACAGAAGTGTTTTGTGCTCACTTTTGCATTTTTCTCAATGCAAATTTGCCAGCTCCCAAGAATGAGAAAAATCGACTGTTTGCACACGTAAGGTTTATTTTTTAAGAGCTTTCCATGTGGAAATCAAGTATTCTTAGCAGAAATACACGTGAGCTGCATCCTTGAGGACAAATCTGCCCCCGCAAGAGGCTGAGGAGCTGAAACAGCCACAAGTGACTAGAAGCAAATGCAAGCAGAAACCTCGCTCAGTGATATTCCAAGCAATCGCTTGTTGGATTTCCACATCACAATTTAAAATTCAGATGAAATATGAAGTTTCTTTCAGCCTGCTTCAGTAGAGGGCTAGTATTTAGACACAAGTAGGTTTACCCAGGAAAATCAAATATGGGAATGCCTCATTAGGGACCTACAGTGAACAGTTATTATGTCTTCAAGAATTTGTACAGTACAGTGATTCACAGGGCTTCTTTGGCCTTTTCCAATCTCTTCTCATTGCTTTTTGTCTTTCGTAAGAGTGGCTTATGTAATCTGAGCAGTAACCTTCATTTAATGCTTTTTCTGACTCTCTCTTACTGCCATGCCTCTCTTTTTTTCACATCTTCCACATTTTCTTTTCTGCCATCTCCTCTGCTGTCCTACTGCCTTCCCCAAATTCTTCCATGTCCACGCTCTTTCCCTGGACCTCTCCTCTCTCCCACTACCTCCTGCATATGTCTGCCCTAAATCTCTCCCTCTGCCTGCTCTAATTTTTTGGAAATAACGGCACTCAGGATGTTGGCACGGAGGTAGGTTGCCTAAGCAGTGATTTATCTGAGAGAGCATTTGAGGTGAGATGAGACCTATAATTAACCCTGTAGGAGGGGGCTGCAACAGACCCCAGGTCTGCTGTGCTCGGCACGCAGAGGGACATGTGCAGCCTGTGGCCACTGAATTAATGCAAACCTGGAGGAGAAAGGGTCTCCTCTGGCAACACCCCCTCCCCAGGGTGCTTCATCTGCCTGTACAAGCTTATTCAGGCCAAAATTCTCAGTTTCCTCCCCATTCTTGTAGCATCGTGCCACAGTGGGGCAGCCCCGGTCCCCTTCCCCCATTGCCCCTGTGCAGCCGCACTGGCATGAGCCGGTGAAACACGGGTGGGAATACGCCCACCCAAAGAGTCTGTAAAATAAAGAGACCCAAACTGCTTACAGATGAAACCTGAGCGGAAGGGCAAAGTAAATTAGCTTGTAACTCTTGTCTCTTCCTCTGCAAAGCCTGCCCTCGGTCTCCAGCAACTTTTTTTACGGCTCGTTTTTGGGAGCTTTTTCTTCGCTCTCCTGCAATTTATTATACCATTAAAACCGATGGCAAAAAATGTTCCTCGTTAAGGTGGGAAGGTTTTATCTGAAATAAAAAATAATGAAATGGCAAGAAATCTCAAGGCGAGAAAAATACCCCTGCTGTTCTACACAAAAAAGAGGATTTTTTTTTTTTTTTTTTTAAAGAAAGCTTTTTCTGTTCCCTCCAGTAGCGACAAGAGATTCCCCATCAGATCAGCCCACTGGCTCTAAGACGAAGGAATCCAAGTAAGAAGAGTAATTGGTAACATTTTTCTATAGAATTCAGTCACGTTAGGCTGTATTTATGCCACACGCGGGTGAGCAGCAGGAGCACCTAACAACTGGAGAATTACAGTATGCCTGAGACATCTACAGCCTGCCAGCCACTGCTGTCCCCTTGCTATTAATAAACTGGAAGTTATGTCTGTCCAAGTGGTTGTCTTCGGGCCCCTCAGCATTTCCTGTATTAAAAGCGATGCTGCCAGCCTCTGCAGAGGCTTTTTTTAATAATTATTTTTGCTGTTGTTGTCGTTGTTAGATAGATAAATCCCGTGCAGCATCTCTTGAAGCGGCTGCGACGTGTGATTTTTATTTTGCAGGCTGCTCTTCCAGCTGGGGAGGAAAGGGAGGTCTGATTCCCCAGCCACGGTAAATCAGTGTAATACCACCCTTCGTGCCACGGGTGCTGCTGCAGAAAGGCGGATTTACATCGGCCGGGGATGTAGCTCACTCCTCTCGGCTGTCCGATATAAATGTTAGACATATCTAATCTTCCTTGCAGACAGAGAGAAGGGGAGAGAAGAGAAATTGAATAGAGACGCTCGTTCAAGAGACAAATAAAGACCAAATTCTCCTGCAGTGTACTTTAAATGGCACTCAGCTCATTGATAACATTCCTTGTATGAATATCTGAAGGATGTTTTGGCTTTTGTCCTTAAAGATGATACCACATGCTCTTGGCACCAAGGGAAACGGATATAAGCAGCTGTTTAAGGGAAGGCTGTTGCATTGCTACATGAACAGACAGAAAGGTTGTTTTTTCATTATAGGGTTATAAATTCATAACTTGCAGCCTGAAAGAGTGCAGGCTCTATTCCCCAAATTTTGAAAATGTTACGGTCTGAGGTAAAAACCCTGTTGTGATATCAAGGGAAATCGGTCTTAAGTGATTCCTCGAAGGTTTTCATTTACGGATGCATTAATTTGTGTGCAATGTGCCCAGAATCCTTTAAAATTTGTAGACAACTAATAAAAAACCAGTGATGTGTAAAGGCCTTCTTGAATTACTAATGAAGACAAACAAAAAAAAAATATCAAAAGCCCTTCACTCCTTCCCTTGAATCAGGACAAGTCAGGCCCTGACCATGGTTCATTCAGCATCTTTTTTTTTTTATTTATCTGCCAAGGCCACCGGCATCTTTAAATTAGTATATCACAAGGGCGATCAAAAAAATTCTCCCTGTGTTACAGAGATAGAAGCAGCTGGACACCTCGATACTCCGTGTTGTAGGCTGAGAATGATTTCATACCCTGCCAAACAACTGCAGATGAAAACAGAGAGTGAGAGGGGTCTGAAAAGCCCCATTTACCCCTCTGCACTCTGCTGCCCTTAGCTCTGCGAGTACATCTCTCCCCTCCACATGCTGCAAGACTTAACTTTCACATCTTCTGAGCCAGAAATCATTTAAGGTGGCTGGTGTTCACTGCCCAAAATCATGTCACCAAGAATCACTGGAAACAGCTGGGAAACCTTGCCTGCTCCTCAACCCCACAGCTCTTTTCCCCTCCTTGGCCATGAACCATCCTACCCAGTGTCACCTCTTTTCAGATGGTGTGTAGATGGCTATCCTGCCGAGAGAACGCATGACATCAAGGAGGCGATGACCCAGACGAAGTGGAGCTATTCAAATGAGTCCCTGGCTGCCAGGGAGGAAGGTGAGTTCCTTTAAAGCAGCTCTGTCTGACATCCCAAGTACTCAGAATCATAGAGGTTTTTTTTAAAAAAAAGTGGCTTTTGGCATCAGTTTACTAGAAGAAAAAAAAAACAACTCACAAAGTAGGTTTTGTTTGGCAGAAGAGATTCAATTGAAGCACTTTGACAAGGATAAATACTTCTCATTACCAAGACCCTAAGTTCTGTTTCTTCTCTTATTATTGTGGTACAAAATGCCTTATGGCAATTTTCCTTAGACCCAGCTTTGTTTCACTTCCCACATTATTAGGGGTTTCACCTAGAAACAGCCAAAAACTCTCAGTCCCCTACACAGAGCCGGTCACACACCAGTGAGAGCCCAGGAGTAAGCCAGGGCCATGCTCAGCACCTCACATGATGGCTCAGCAGCTGATTAGGATCAGCCAGAGGGCTCTGAGCCTGCATGACTCCAGCTCGCTCTGTCAAGGTGCAGGGATGAGCTGATTTTGCAGTGAGCTGCCCCTTGAATTGAGACTTGCTCTCCATCACCACCCCAAGCCATGTTGCTGGAGCCAAGGGATGACACCTGCTGAAGTGGGAGGATGCCCAGAGGTGCTCATCATCTCCAGCCCACACTGTGTTGTCTCAGTCAACAGAGGTGGTCACAAAGGAGAAACTAGAAATTTTCTAGTTTTCAGCATCTTGATTTTAATAGGCCTCCTCGGGCTGATGGATCCTTCTCTTTTTGCCCAAAAACAGAAGTGAAGTGAACTTCACTTGAAGTTCACGAGTGTTTTGACAGCACTATCATTGCAGTCTACCAGCAATGGGCAAAAACTGTACTTCCCATCCCTCTCTGCCTCCAGCAGTCCTGAGGTTGTCCTTCCTTGTTGCCATCAGCAAGATGGGTCCCTGCAACCATCCAAGGTCAATTTTCAAGCATCTCTTTTTAGGCTAATGCAACTCCTCCACCTCCAGCCATCCAGGTTCAGAAGTACGTTCGAGGGCCAAAGTCACACTGATGTCCAGGGGCACATTAGACACCTAAATGTTTTAGGGCATCTCATCTCTGTGAGAGAATCACAACATTGTCACTGGGCTGTCTCAGCCACAAGGGTTTATGAAATGCTTAGCTAGCAAAACAAAAAGCATTAACTTCTTGGCTACAGCTTTCTGCCAAAAGATAGGCAGGTCTTGCTTCAATGCAGATGTCTCGGGGAAAAAATGTGCAGTGCATTAGAGAGCTGTGACTCATAGAATAATTATCCTCGTTTCTCATAGTTTATTAATAATTTAAACCCAATCTTGGTGTTATTGATCTATCATTGAATCGGAGATTTATTTCAGATCTGTAGTCACTGAAGCAGTAAATTTAATCCCCCTTCCCCTCCCACCCTTCCATCCACTAAACTCACTTTATAACTAAAACATGATGTTTAGGCTGTTTCAGTAATAGGAGAGGAGAAGAAGAGCTCAGAGGCTGTGGGTGGCAGGAGCAGCCTTAAGCTCACAGAAGACCAAGCTGAGCAGCATTAAGGTTCTGGTTTTAATACACCTTTTTTGACCAAACCATCCTTTGCACGTGGTCCCAGGGATGCCAAAAAGGACCAAACACTACCTGCTGGCATGTTCATCACAACCAGATCCTAAACCAGTTTTGCCTGTTTTCCTCTGGGTTTGCTTGCCCATTCCCACAGTTAACCATCGTTTTTGCGCGCATCCCAGCTGTGGATCCCAGTCTTGCTCTTCGTCCTCTGGAAACACAGATATGAGCTCACTGAGGTAAAAGCACCTGCAACACGTAGGCTGTTACAAGCCACACAAGCTCACAAGCTCTTGGGCCCTGTCCTAATCTCACTTAAACTGGCGAAAACCTGAAGCAGCTGCCTGGGTGTCCCAGGAGTACCATGAGTGTAGAATCAATTTAACTGCGTGGAGGATGAAGCATAAAAAACTATAATGTGAAGACTCCTACAGCAGTGCTCACTTGGCTGTACCATGTGTCTGGTGCATTCACTGATATAAGCAGCAAGATCTGGCCTTTTAAAGGAAGCCAGGAATAGAAAACAGCGTGCTTTATGGCTGTAAAGTGCCCAGAAGAGTGATTTTTGTAGGCAAATGAAATACATTTTTATTAGACCAATTGTAGTATACAGTTGGGGTGGAAAATGCGTTCTTGGCTGTACCAACTCTTTCTCAGGTCTGAAAGAAAGCAGAAAATGTGCCCAAATGCTCTTCTGTTCTTTTCCATCTATATTAATGGATACAATTAAAGACATTACCATCCTGTGCCAGCCCATCCTCGTTGTTATCCTTAGACTCTGCAGCTGGAACCACAGTGAGTGGGGGCTCTTGGCCACAGTTGGAGCTTCTGCAGCAGCTATGGAAACATGCAGCAGGGGGCAAGCTGCCACAGCCTTGCTCTAAAAAGCAAACAAGGGTTGGTGTAACCAGGCAGAGAGGATGCGTTGGTGGGATAAAGCACTGGCGTGCGCCCCTGAGTATGGGCTCTCAGCACCTCTGGTGTTTCTTGCCCAAGTGGAAGACATCCCTAGAGATGAACAGCAGGAAAACAAAGCACAACAACCTCTGTGTAGTCTGTAACTCTGTTTCCAGAGGTATCTTTCTTAATTAAATAGTCATGAAGATGGATTTTCCTTTGCTTTGGGCTTGGAGTTTTTTTTGGTGTCCAGTTTAGGTTAGCTAATCCTGGAATAAGACCAGTGACATGCTGGTCTTATTTTTCTAATCCTGCAGGACAAGGGGTGCTGCCAGCAGTAACACATTGGGATGCAGGAGCTGGGTGTTGCAGGGTTGTTGGAAGGGAAGCAAAGTCAGGGAAATCCATGGCTGGAAACGCTGTTGGGTGGCTGGGTCCCTGTGACGCTGGGTCCCTCCTGTCCCGGTGGGACCATTGTCATCCTCGGGTCGCAGGTCCTGTGAAGCCCAGAGTTGCTGTCATTAAACCTTGCTCTTCTGTGAGGTGTAAGAGACTTATTTGGCCAGATTTCACCCAACAATGTGAATTCCTAGAAACTGAGGCTTGCCTGCAGTTACAAAGCAAGGACCTCCCTTCCTCCTTCTCCTCGGTGAAAGAGGCAGAGTGGTTGCAGGCACAGGTACCTACCAACACAGCAAGTGTGCTTTGAGTACCCATCTGTGATGGGAGCAGGTTCAGTGCCTCTCTGAATACATATCCCTTCCTCCCACAGTTTAGTCCTGTGCCAGGCAATTAAGAGGGTATTTTCTCTACTGAGAAGCCGAGTAGAGAAACTCAGTGTTGCTTCAGGGAACAGTTCACCCAGAATATGTTAATCAACTTGTTTATGTCTCATTGTATACCCTGGCAAGGCGAGGAAATGCCTTTTCCTGCCATTTTAGGAGTAACTAGAGAGCTGGGTCCCCATCTCACATACCCCGAGATAAGTGCCTACTCCTCTGTTCCTTGCTGTTGATGATATTAGGCTCCTAATTCGGGCACTTCACTGACGGGGATGACCTTGGGTCTTGTTTCAGCTCACACGCATCTCCTGACCCATGAGACACCCTCTTCAAACAACCCAGGTAAGGTGTTTGCATGCTCAGCTGGCCCATCACCCTCCTCCACCCAATCTGGCCGTGGAGGGGGATGGTGGTCCCTCCTGGCACCCATCAGAGGCTGGGATGGTGCAGAGGCAGTTTTGGCACTGCATCCTTATGCTGCAGGAGATTCTGCTCTTCCTTTCAGTTGTGGAGGTGCTCTCCAGGCACAGCGAGGTGTACTCTGAGGTTGGAGAGAGCAAAGGGGCCACCGAAAATGAAGAAGAGGCAGCAGCCCAGGATGGAGAGGAGAATACCCAAGCAGGACTGTGTGAGCAAGGTACAACATGGTATTTGGAATAACCACAGCCACTGTCAGATAAATCTGTGTTTTCTAGGTGCCCATCTGCCATCCTTTGAAAATCACAGGCTAAACTAAAGATCATTTTGTTCATAAGAATGACCAAAGCTTTTGAAGTCCTCCTTTATGCTGCCATGTATCAGAGATTAGCACTGTTTTGTGGCCATGGAGGACAAGTGATCCTGTCTAGCCATCCAGGGCCAGAATAAAAATGAGGAGGGAAATGTGAGTGGAAGCATTTTCATCAGAATACTAGACTTAGCCTCTAGAAAAGGGCCAAGTGGATGCCTGGGAGCACCATCCTTAAACCTAAGGGTTGCAGCCCTCTTCCTCCAATGGTGTTCCTCCTCAATTTCAGGGGATTTTGGTTCTTCCACGTCTCAGCTGGGTGGTCATGGGATGTCAGAGGGTGTAGGAGGCAAGAAAAACCTGTGGTTTGTAGAAAAAACAGTGGGAAAAGGGATTAAAGAAGGAAAACTGGAAATCTGAGAAAGAGGGCAAGAACTAGAAGATTAGAAAAGGGAAAAATATCGATAGTTGTGGGGATATGAATAAAAAACTGAGGACAGACCCCAAGGAAGAGAGAGAAACAAGAATAGGGATTAGGAGAGAGGCAGAGCTGAGGGAAAGGTGGAAAAACAGAAGGAGAGACATTGAAAAGGGAGGTGGATATGAACTAGAAGCAAAACTTAAGCGGAGAAGAAATCTAGCAAAATTACAAAATGAAAACCACAAAGTAAAGAGCAACTGATTCCGGAGAGCAGAGGAGGTAGGTTTGGCAAGACAACACTCCTGGTTGTCCATTGAAAGCTTGCTGACAAAATAGTGCAGAGAGGATAAGTCCTCTTTTCTACTTCTGTCTGGATATCTGCAGTCCTCCAAGGAATCAGGCTGTAAAAGAAAGACCTGAGACTGCACAGCACTTCCTTTCTCTTTGGGATAAAAAGTGCTCATTCTGGGGAGAAGAGGGGAAAGGGCAGAAATAAGTGATTCTTGCTTTTTTGCCTTTTTTTTTTTGCCTTTTTTTTAGTTTTTTATTTTCACAATAAGTTTTGACACATGTTTGTTAGGTAGAGAGTGCCTGCCCAGAGAAGGGGACATGCTTCATGATGAAGTCTCCTCCAGCACTAGATACCAGAATACTAGATACCCAGAACAGACTCTGGGCAAATGGAGGGGCACAACTGCAGAGTCTCTGCCTGTGCTACCTCCCCTTTACCCACCTCAAACCTCTCGATCTCCCATCACTGGGGTGCAGCAGCTTGAAATCTGCAGGAGGAGAATTCCTGGAAACCCAGCTCTACTCTTTGCCCCGCCCTGCAGCTCGTCCCTCCATCCCTACTTTTGCTTGTCAGGCATTTGTATAAATAGGATTAACATCTGCAGTTACACTTAGCTAGGTTGCAAATTACACAGGCTATCAAGCCTTGTGCTTCAGGGCATACACTGATTACCATCGGAGGGGCAAAAATGAGTTTTTCCAATAACAGAATATTGCATGATTGACTGGGGACATTAAGGGGCAGAGTGGATTAGCCTTTGCCATCAGTATCAGTTATATGTCATTACCGCATCAAAGCACCCGGCGTGGGCGAGCTGCTTCCATTCAGGCAGCGCTGGAGGTGGCTGGGTCCAGAGGAGCAGGGCTGGTTGTAAAAACCGGCACTGATTTCTGAACCTGCTTATAAAACTTGCAAGCTGCACTCCCTGCCTCTGCTTGCCCACCTCCTGGGCAGCACGCTGCATGCCTTCAGCTCACCAGAGGAAACCCATCCTCCCCTCCCTTGTCCTCTTACGGCCAAGACCCGGACCTCCCCGCTGCCACTGCAGGGATCCAACCATCCCACCTCCCTGCCCCACCGCCCTCCCTTTCCCCCTAGCCCAAATGATATCCCTCTGGTGGTGCTTTCCCCAGCTTTGAGCCAAGGACCAAGTCCTGCAGTACAGTATGCAGGCTGCTGCCCATAAAACATCATCCTACGACGTGATTTTTCAGAAGACCTTTCAAACACAGGATTTTGGGGCTCACCACCACCACTCTGATACTTCTCAGCCAGAGAGGAAGCTTTGACCTACAAAAAGGTGCAACATTTCCTGGTGTTTCCCAGTTTTGGTGGGATTGAGAGCTATCGGAGGAGCTGGGACATGCTGTAACAGGAGGCTGGAGGGTACCTGACAGAAGGGTCTGCTGACCCTATCCTTACAGTGCTCCCAAGGGCTTGTGAGAGGGGCTGAGGTCCCCATTATCTCCCTGTTACATATGAACGGCTTTGCCCATCCTCAACTTTCAGGCCACTTCATCTCCATCTTGGCAGGAAACGATTGTCTCATTTGAATGGAAGAGCTAGATTTGACAGAAATCCAAAATAAGAAACATAATTAGCAGCAAAACTTTTAATTCCCCTTTCTAAGCCATTTCTAAATGTGTTAGTGCTTATTTATTGGACCTGGCTTGACATTTAGACAGTTCCTTTTAATGCTAATAAGGTTGATTACCCGGTTGAATCCTACTGCTTTGAGGAAACTGCTGCTCAGTATTCAGAGCTGCCAAGTTCCCCCTGCACAGAAACACCCGCCTTTCTTCACAAGAAATATGTATTATTCAGCACAAATGCATTAAAATAAGGCCATCGCAGGAGCGAGGAACCTTCACCAGTGATGCTGGGCCAGCAACCCGTGCATGAAGCATAGGGCACCTGGATTGTGCCTTTTTGTGGCCAAAACCTCCCACCAGCACCAGTGGGATGGGTGGCTTGGCTGTGGTGCTGGGGGGGCACCCTGGAAATGGCGGGACCCTCGTCTGCTGATGGGTGGGGAGCCCCAAGGAGGAGGAGGAGCAGGTGAGAGGTGCAGCCACAAGAGGGGAGGAAGAGGAACAGGAAAAAAGAGGAAGAAGAAGAAAAGGAAGAGGAGGAGAAGGAGGAGAAAGAGGAGGAGGAGGACAAAGATGAAGACAAAACAGAGAGGAAGAGGAGGATGAAGCCACCTCATTTCCCCAGGTTGCAGCCAGGAGCTGGAGTTTCCTTCCCTGCCCCACTTGAGGTTCACACTCTACTTTCAAGACTCCCGTCTTCCTCCTTATCCTACAGAGCCAAACACAGCAGGGACTCCTTCCTAATGGAAACCGAGGGCCAAGAAATGTGGGTGGGTTGGTTTTTTTTTTCCTCTCATAGCAATCACTATCGTATTATTTGCTTCGGTGTGTGTAATGGAGCTTTTTGTGCTCCCTTTCCTGGAGATCAATCGACCGGACAGGTGTCTGATTGTCCTCCTGTTTCAATGTGTATCATCATTACTCCTCCAGAGCCGCTGCAAAATAGCACAGGTGTCAATAAGAATAGAACTTGGCCTTGCGCTCACTTTAAATTTGGCTTTATAGGTGAAGATGGTAGGTTTTCAGAAAAATAAGCCTCCCCTCCACGTTACTGAGCACGCGATCGCAACACGAGGCAGCCTGGGCGATGCAGCAGCCCCCAGAAATGGGGCAGGCTCCTGAAAGCTGAGAGTGACAAGCCAGCTTGGCTTGACAAGCTTTGCCAATGGCCAGCCGAGGGCAAGGAGATTAGCCCGATCTGGGGAACAGAGATACTTGAGCTCAGGAATTTCCCCCCGGGGTGCGATTACCTTATAACGGCCACTATCCCTCATTCTCATTTCTAGCTGGAAAGGAGGTGCAAAGCGAGAGGCTCCTCGTTTGTATCCATCAGATGGCTGGTAAACAGCCAAGGCATGGCTTTTAAGGCAATCTTGGAAAAGTGCACAGGGACACAAACGTCCCTGTCGTTAAGGTGGCGAGTTTTCAGCCAGAAGAGACACTTATTTATTGTGTCGTCAGAGCATCCAAGTGTTTGTTTTTAATTTACATGGGGAAAATCTGAGTGAATCACTCAAATTTGGACTGACTGCCCAAGACACTGTTGTACATTTCCTATTTTTTTTTTTGCTCTCCCCTCGTTCATAACCATTCATCATAAGCAGAACCAGAGCCACTTTCTTTCAATAATGCCTTGGAATGATAAAAACCAAGATGATCCAGGTCTTGCTGGGGGAAGGTGAGCTGACTGCAATAAAACACCCTTGTTCTGAGACCCAGCCACCACCTGATCATGTTTCCACAGCACGCTGAGATGCACATTAGAGGTCTGCACGTAGCACAAGGTGCATCCCCTGGTTATCCTTGGTGCATTTCAGAGTGGCTGGGCCTCCAACTGAGGACCTGGAAAGAAGACTTGTCCATGCAGCACAGGCAGACTAGACAGGCTTCCTCAGGCCCCAGACCTGATGATGGGAGGAGATAGTGTGAGCCAGGTTTCTGCAGGGTGTGCCTTTTGCCTTATGTCAGTGGCTTGGTGCTTTCCCTCAGTCACTAAGGTCTGGGTCCCACCAGGACCTACAGAGGTCACCTCTTTGTCTTCCACGGTGAGGGGCATCCCATGAGAAGGGGTCCGTGCTCGGAAGTGCTTGGGTTATGGAGGCTTTCATTTGGGGAGCTAAAGGAAAAGGGGATGCACCTGCCTGTAGGTCCTGGTGGTGGGGGTTTTGAGCTGAAAATCATGCCTGGTGTGTTCAGCTTGAAAAGCTCTATCTCTGGGACAAAGGGGGCTGTGTCTGAAACAGTGACAGGCAGCAGCACCAGACACCTCAGGCTACATTTAAACTGTTTTGTTTTAGTGGGAGAGATGGCCTGGTGTGAAACACAGGGCGTAAGGATGACTGTAAAGGATCAGCCCCAAAGTGCACTTGGCCCAGCATCCTGCCCTGGGCAAGAGCCAGCAGATACTCAGGAAGCAATACAAAAATAGACCAAACATTTGCTTACACTTCCCAGAATACTCTCCATTCCCCTAGTGGTCTGTGACTTGGGAACCTCCTGAACTGTAGATACCATCTTTGCATTTAATAGCCCTTGATGGATGCTTCCATAGATTAGTTTACACCCTATTGAACTAATGAAAACTTTAAATATCCACTGTACCTTATGGCAAGGAGTGCCACAGCTAAAAATCTCTTTTGTTTGTTTTGAACTTGTCACTTGATAGTTTTCTTTGATGATCGCTCTCTTCCTTTGAAGAGCACTGAATACTGTGAACAGCTGTTCCCCGGTCATGCCACTCTTCCTATCCCAAAACTCGGTCATATTTCTTCTTCAGTCATTTTTTTCTTCCAAGATAAAAAGTCTTAATCTATTCAGTCTTTCCCTGAATGGAGGCCCTTTTATGTCTTTGATCATCTTCAATTGTCTTCCTCTGTAACTTTTCTATTTCCTCTATATCATATTTGAGATTGGTGAATCAGGACTGCACAATAGCATTCAAGAGATGGAAGCCCACGGATTTATACAGCGGCATAAAGATTTCCTCTGGTTTGCTATCTCCTCCTTGCCTAATAATTCTTAGCTTTCTGTTTGCTTTTTTGATTGCTACTGAGCGTTGAGCTGACATTTGCATAGAGCTATCTATTATAACCTGAAGATTTCGCTCCCAAGTGGAAATAGCCAGCTCAGAGCCCATTATTTTGTATGTAAAGCTAGGATTGTCTTTTCCCGTGTGCATCACTTTACATTTATCTACATCAGATTTCATCTGTGATTTTATTACCCTTTTATTCAGTGCCACGAGGGTCTTTCTGCAACTCTTCTCAGTCAGCCCTTTGCCTCAACCACCCTGAATATCATCTGCAAACTTCTCCCCTCCCTGCTTACTCCTATTTTGAGATTATTTATGAATGTTTCAAAAGCATAGGCTAATTCAGCAGCTTTCCCTCTCAAATTTGAAGTGCCAGGTCCCAAGGAGAGGGAAGAAATGTAGTTTCCCAAGCTCTTGGGGTGTCACTGGAGATCAGTTGGTGCTTTTGGAGATGGATGACGTTGTGCTTAACCAGCATGTCTCCCTTTCCCCTTGCACAAATAGATGGGGAGGGTAATGGTACCTGCTGGGATGTCTGTCTGCCCCTCCACTAGGCTGGACAGGACCAGCAGGAGGCCCTATGGTGGCCCTTTCTCCTGCTGAAGCTGGATCTTGGCACAAAGAGGCATGCAGTAGTCCTGGGGCCCCAGGAAAGGAGGGGGAAGTAATGGATGGCAAAAACCTTTCTCTGAGAAAACCTCTGCACACAAAGTTGTGCGATCTCCCTTTGAACGAATAGGAGCTAACTGGCAACTCTTCCTTAGAAAAAGATGCATGGGAGCCTGTTGAGCTTGCCCAAGGGAGTCCAAGGCCAGAGTTGGACAAGGAGCTGCTGTCTACGGGAGGAGAGCACAAGGATGATGAGACGGAGACTTCCCTCTGCTCAGGCAAGGTGAGACCCAGCTGGTCAATTAGGACAAGAAACCAGAAATTACCAGCGATGAGCACTTTTTCAGTGGTATTCTTTTTTCACCTCACCTTGCAACCATGCCCAGTGGGGGAATGGGTGCTGGGGAGCAAGAAGGAGGGGTGCTTCTTTCTGCTGGGGGCATCTCCATTTGGGGGAAGAGGCTGAAGAGTTGCTGCTGCTATATGTAGGCTGGGCAACACTGAAAGCGAGGACAGAATTAATTCAAGTAGGGGAAAAACGGGTGAGAAAGTGAACAGCTGTGGTGGAGGGTTCCTTGTGGCTGTCTGGTGGTGCACCCCATTGCTGTGGGGTCACGTGGAGCATGTTTCCCTCTCCTCCCTGGCCTTGGTAATTTCTTGTCGCTTTGTTTAGAGCCAGGCAATGAGGGATTTGCCAGCTCTCTGGCGAGATGCCTTCCAGAAAAGGCAGGCAGCTCCCAGAAAAATGCTCTGCGGGGGAAGTTTGACATTCCTGCAGCTGCAAGGGGAGAAAAGGAGTTAGTCTCTCTTCTTTGATAACGAAGCAAAAATTGCTCCAAAGGGCAGAGGTTCTCCTCTTTAAGAGACTTAAGCTTGACCATCAGAAAAACGGGACCCATTTGATGACACAAGAGAAAAAGCAGGCATTGGTGACTCAGGCACAAAGTGTCTCGTGAGCTGTGGGAAGAACTGTGTCTCCTGGCAGAAAAAAAAAGGTGAGTGTGTGTGAAAAAACCCTACTGGTTTCACAAAGCAAAACAGGAATTCAAGAGAAGAGCAGTGGCAGACCCACTGATCCTGCAGCCATCAACCCCCTCCTCATCTGAATAAGGAAGTCTCTCATCCACCTTAAACACAAAGGCAGAAGTCTCTATTTCCACCCCAGCCATTTGATGGCCACGCTGCTGCCCGTTTCAGGGACTGAAGCTGGGGACTGGCCAGTACCAGGGGTTCCTCCAGCAGGGCTGAGGGTTTTAGCTGTGCCCTCACCCTTGGTTTGCTTGAGGGCAAGGTTTTTGAGGCTGGGATGGCTGGGTGGTGTGCCCAGTGCCAGCCCACTGCTGGTGAACCACACCAGCTTGGTGCACACATCTGTGCAGCTCTGGGAGGCTAGGGTTTGTGCTGTTGGCCAGCCCACCCAGCCCCTGGACCGCAGATAGCTGATGGAAGAATACCCACCTGGAAAGCAACCTGGGGCTAGATGGGCTGGCTTTAGGTGACATTGCTCATGGTAGAAGGCATCAGGATGGCTATTATAAATACTACAGAGAGGAAAAAGGCCTTCAAAGCTAAACCAGACTTAAGCCATTTTTGAGCCATTATCAGGAAGAGGAGAGCTAGTCGTGAATGTTTCCACCATAAATGCTTTGCAAGCGCATGTTTTTTCCTTTTGAAAATGCAAACGTTCTCATTACCCTTGAAGTTTCTCCATATCAAGGTTGCCTTAAAAACTGAGCGCTTCTTGACTTTTAATGTAGTTTCTCCGGGTTTTGTTTTTAAAGAAGAGACAGGAGCTGCTTTTTAAAACTTGTTTTAAAAGTTGAAAGTTTTAAGCCTTTTTTTTTTCTTTTTCTTTTCACTTTTTCAGTGCTTCGCAGGATGTTAAAAGAAGGCCAGATTAACAAGTTGTTCACATTTTCACATGAAAAACAACTAGAACTTTCCACTGAGCTCATGCCAACTGCATTTATTTGTGAGCACAGATAATTAAACATAACCTGACATTATATACATATGTAATAAGAAATTCTGGTGTTATGCTAAATGCAATGAGTTTGGTTACCTTTACAGGAACAGCCTAGACTTAAGCCCTTTTTTTTTTTTTAAAAATAATGAAGCTGATGCTGAATTTCCATTGTCTTTTGAGGAGACCACCTGGACAGAGGAGGCTGTCATGTGTACCTTTTGCAGCACTCCTGAAAAGCCAGTCCCAACAGTGATGGATCTGAAGGAACAACCCCAGGAAAATGTGAGTGTACCCATACTGTGTGAGCATGCCTGTAACATCAGTTTCTTCCTGGGAAAAGAGACCACCCCATGGCAGCACCAGAGAGGAAGGGAAAAGAGACATGGGCAGAAGAGCTGGAGGGTGAGGAGGTCCCTGGTCTGTCCAGGTGCCCCATGCCAGCCCCACTGCTCCTGATGGGTGCTGGACCCCACAGCTCTTTTGCTGCAGGACATATAAGGAAATGTTTGATGATATTATTCAAGACCTGATGAGCGAAGATGAAGCAGAGGAGGAAGAGCTGGACATCACTTCCTATGCTGACCCTTCCCAAGCTGACCTGAAGAACAGCATCAAGGAGAAACTGCTGCAGCAGTAAGGACCAAAGGAGACTGGCCCAAGGCCCTGGTGGGAGGAAGCTTTTTTGACCCCATCCCAGGGTCCTTTCAGTCTGCTCCCAAGGAGTTTTTCTGGTGGGAACCTGCTTGTGGTGTTGTGGCACTGCTGCCCACATGCAACAACAAGCCTTGAGGTATCCTCTTGTCAGTCCTATGATAGTACCACTGGTAGGTGGTATCACCTGCCCTGGCAGGACAAATGGGGCCATTAAATGTTGGACCAGGATGGTTCAGTGCTGCCAAGGCAATACTTGCCAGAAGGTCCTCAAGCAGCGCATCTTCACTCTAGCACCCTTAGAAACGCACTAGGTGGCTTCATGAGGAGCTGCTATTGCTGAGGGCTCAGCAGCCATCAGCTGCTCCATCTCAGCAATTCTGGCATTACAGGTTTGACATTCACAGGTTAGGAAGCTCCATAGACAGGGGGATGGAGCCACATGCTTTCCCAGATGGCAAAAGGTTTTCCCAAGTAAAACCCCGGGTAACTGTTCTCTCCCAAGAGGCTCTGAAGGCATCTGACCCCATTCGGGGTCTCCATCCTATCACACAGCCCCTGCACACCTTCCCACCACAACTGTTTCCGTCTCCCCCCCCCCGAGATACATCTTTCCCAGGGCACACATCGGGTGGCTCTGGCTGGGGCACAGTGGCCTTGCCAAGGTGAGCAGAGACCAGATTTCATGACATGAGTTATCCATGCTTTGTTGCTGTTTTCCCATTGTCTCCTACCATTTGGTTCTTTGGGATCTGACTTGAAAGTGCCATCATATCTTCGTGGGAGCAACAGCCCACAATGAAATTGCAGCTGCAGAGGTACACTACAAGGTTTGAGTGCCACTCAGGTCTCCAGGTAGAGAGAGGTTTTGAGACCTTTGGGTAGGGTCTGTCTTCTGGCTCTGAAGGGGCCAGCAGCATACATGGCATGAAGCATTTGGTCCCACCAGCCATGCAAGCTGAGTTTTGACCTGAAAGACCAGAGTGACAGTCAGGACCGTGACACACAAGTGGATTTGGGCAGGGCACTCAGCCACATGTGTGATGAGCTGTGTGGGTGCAATGTCCTGAGGGCTGGGACTCACCTCACCTCTGCAAGCCCCTAACCAAGCCTTCCCCTGTCACCTGCAGCTCCTATTGACTGAAGGGCAGGGAAACAGACATTTCTACTGCATGGTTCACGAGACCTGAAATGATAGCTCTTCTTTGGCTGTAAAAAACATTTGTGGTGACGATCTCATATGCAGGCATTTGCAATTGCTTCAGGTGAATCATAGAATCATAGAATGGCTAGAGTTGGAAGGGACTTTAAAGATCATTGAGTTCCAACCCCCCTGCCATGGGCAGGGACACCTCCCACTAGAGCAGGTTGCTCATCAGGTTGCTATCCTGATATAACATCCCATGATACTTGTTTTTCCCTTAGATTATGTAGGTAGTGTCATTAGCCAGCAATTCGATTTTATTTTTAACTTCCCTTTTTTTGACCTTAGGTTGGATGAAGGAGCCTTTGAGAGCTACAGGGAAATACTTCAGCAGTATATGAAATTTGTTGCCCGTATGTACCTTTACTAGTGAGTTGCTGTCATTACTGGGCTTGACCTGGAACCAGAAGCACAGGGTAGCTTCAGCACACTTAGAGAAACAGCAGACACTGCAGCCCTTCTTCTAGTATAAGGTGCCCTAATCCTATTTATAAGTGGCCAGGGATATTCACAGTTACTCAAAACACAGATCTGTATATTTGCCTGCCTACAAGGCCTATCATTTCCAACCCATACCTCCTCTGGTTGAAAGGAGTAGGAGATTGTATGGAAGACACTTGCTAGTTCATATCTAGCCTATCCTTTGCTGTAAGTAATTCTCAGCTGCTCATGGGCCTGATGTTGCATTGTTTTAAGCAAAGAGACCCTTTACATCTCTTAGGAGAGCCATCCTGCAGCATCACAGAACCTACCTAGTTAGGTCAGATTTTCCTTTCCACTTACTTCTCCTCAAACAAAGCAAAAGACACAAAACCTCCCCAGTCCCTCTCTCCCTCCAGACCTTTGCAAATAATCCATGACACAAGTCTTGGAGAGACAGAGCTGCATTGCCTTCTCCTCAACAACAACCTTCTAAAACATTTTTCAGTGACCAGAATCTCGTTCAGACTCTCAAAACAAAATGAATACGCTGTCAGGCCAAAAATCGACCCTTTCCAAAAATACCAACCAACATCAGCACCTACAGAAGACCTGCTGGAGCTGGACAGTGAGTTTGTTGCAGTGCACTTAAAGGTGAGTGTAGCCTGTTGGGTCTCTTCTTGTTGCTTTTCGGGCAGGGATTGTAGAGACCTGCATAGTGTTGGGTCTGCTCATACCCTGTGACAGTCTTGCTGTTCCAGTCAAGCATGTTTAGGTATCTCCTAAGAGATATGGAGAAGATCCTGATTCACCGAAACATTAAAATGATTCTCAGTGGGTGTGCACTAAGTTGATGGGACATTCCAGCTTGTGGCTATTTGAAGACTGACTTAATCAGGTGTTCATGGCTGTGGTGGAAAGCTGAGTCTGGTGTCCCTGCAGTTTTACTGGGATGGTGGCCATGTATAAAGGGGTTTTCTTGTGGAGCATCCCTTGCAGCTTGAAGGCTGAACAATGCTGGTCAGTGAACTCCACCCCAGCTGAAGCTTTAGACCCTGGTCTACTCAATTCCATATCATTCATCCCTCTTCCCCTCCAAATCAGGCTTCCTTATCCAAACTGCTCAGCAGGGTCAGATCCAGGCTTCTCAGACAGGAATCACCTGGGGGAGTGCACCCAGTCCCAGGCCAAGCCCTCACCCAAAAATTTAACAACACAGACAAAAAGTCCAGGTGCCCTTGAATTCATCAGTAGGGATGTCACCACTGTGCCCAGCAAGGGATGGGGTACCCCAGGGTGTCCCCTCCACCCCAACTGCCATGAGAAGCGGCTCCCCAGGGCCTGTTGTCCATGCCCCAGTGACCCTGGCAGGGAAAGCCAAGGCTGGGGGCCTGTCCCATCAGCCAGGAGCCCCATGGGACCCCTCTGCCAGCTCAGCCCCACAAACCACAGCTCCTCTCTTCCCTCCCCTGCCTCTCCTCTCCCTTCTCAAACCAGACAGCATTGCAGTTTCTGCAGGCGTGGAAGAAAATTACCTGTGATTTACCACACAATCAGAGATTTTGTTGGCTTTTTTATTTTCGACATAGAAGTGCGTTATACTGCTCTCCCCTCCTGAAATATAGGGGTAGCAAATCCTCCTGCCTGGGACCGTCTGTCTTTTTAGCCTCATAAAAAGCCTGAAAAATGAAAGCAGGGACAAAATCGTCAGCTTGTTTCTTTTTTTCTTTTTTTTTTTTTTTGTTCTCCTCCATCCCTTACAACCAGAAGGTAACTCTTAGCTCTTCTGCAGAGCCAAAAACGTGCATCTTCAGGTTATAATAAACCAGCACTGCGGTGATGGTTGGAGTCAGACCCTTCACGTGGAGAGAAGGGTCCCCGTGACAAGCAAAACCTGAGCACGGTCCCTTTCTTCGCGTGAGAATTGGCTGCTGCTTTTAACGATGATGTTAAAAGGGAACAGCAAGGTCTCCCCATTCTTCTCTCCTCCCCAAGCTGCTCCCCGTTCTTCCCGGAGAAGCGGACGGGAATGCTGCTTATTCCTATTAGAAAGCATTAAACTGGGCTCCCTTGTAATGCTGGGAGCTAAGCCCTTAGCAAAGAAATGTTTCTATTTCGCTTGTCAGTATGTCGCAGGATAAATTACTTGTGCGTCTGATGGAAAAGAGGGCTCTTGGCAAATTATGTCATCAGGGAGCAGCTAATAACATGAAATAAGAAGAGCCGAGCTCTGTAGATGAAACGCGAAAACACAGAGCTGAAGATGAGTTTTCCTCAGTTATTTAAAATGAGTTAATTAAAAAGTAAGCAAACAAACAAGGCTAGGTGGAAAGAGTAGAGTGTGACGGTGTGGCTTGTCGGTGCTCTGGGGTGAGTACTGGTGTGGGAAGATGGATGCCTGGGGCAGAACATCCCTATCCCCCATGTCTGGGCAGGCATCCCTGCAACGGCCTCCCCCAGCCCCCCGCCTGCCTCTCACCTCCTCCGTTTTGCTCCTGCAGCACTGCCGTTCTCCTGAGCCCGTGAGACGACATTATCCTGATGGACAGACCTTTTTTCTCCTGTTCCCAGATGGAAGTGGTCAGGTTTAGTA